ATCGTTAGACCGGTCGCCAGCACCACAGTGGGCAGTCTAGTCGCCATAGTACATCGCCTGGGAATGTCATGGGCCGAATTTCGACTTGATGAAGGAAGATTGCGCGCGATAGGCGACGGGCGTACCTTTTCGACATCGATAGTACGGGGTATGGGATTAGTGGTCGAGTACAGTGCGACTGGCCGTCATAGTCTTGGAAGTACTCGTGACTTGATACCCAGCATAGCTGCAGACAAGGTAAGCTAAATTTTACCTATCAGCTTCCCAAACTCCTGCAACAATTGATGCACGACGTTCCTGGGCATCGGAAACGCGCATAGTTGCTATTGAGGCATGGCCTCTACGATAACAAGTTACTCGCAAGATATGATAGCTTTTGAATTCGCTGTATCGCTTACTCACAGTGACTAGCTGGCGTGTGGAATCCTACCCTGCGCCGATGAAGGACATCCCGACATATACCTGAGACACCCACGACTGCCTTATCCCTGCGTAGACATTCACCTATCATCGTTCAATATAGATGATCCGAATGTCAATACAGTATTGTCATCAAGTTTGACACAAGAGAATCCGGCTCACAGGCTTCCTGCGTACACGGACCTTCTCGGCTTGTGGTGTGAATGGCTCCCAGTTGGAGACATTCCCCAGAAGACCTTCCTCAACCCGTTTCCGTTTCCCATGACAACAATGGGTGAAAGACCAGAGTCGCGAAATGTATGGCGGTTGCTACTCCGAAATAAAGAGAACACGCTCTCCAATTCCCGCAAGCAAGTGTTGCAATTCTACGACGACTGGGAACAGTTAGCCAGCAAGAACTTCGGCCATAACTACGGAGAACCGCCTCCAAGGGCCTTCTTCAAGAAAGCATTTGATGAAACAACGGTTTATTTGCAGAATACTCTTGGTTCTTCTCTGACGTACTTCCATGATCATTTGGTTGGCTGTCACGTATCTGTCAACGCATCTAGCGGCCAGCAAGCCGAGAAAAAGGTTGCGGCAGGGCATGGAAAGATCGGAGTCGAAGATTTGCTACCAGAATACATCCACAAAGATCAGATCTTCGTGGAGCGCGCCTTCATTTACGTGGAGAACATCCCTAAATTTGTACAAGAGGCAGAAAGACGCGCAGCTGTGCGGTTATTCACCCCAAGCAAGAGTGTCTCGTACGAAGACGTATGGTGGATGATGATGATGCGTCTCCATGCATGGACTTCGAGCGTCCAGTGGGTGGAACCTCGGGATGGGGGTATTCGAATCTCGAGCGACTACTACGATCACCCAGCGCGAGTATACATTTTGTGAAAGCATGGTCCCACTGAAATGTTCGCACGATGTCAGCGGCAAACTCTTTGGTCCTGGGTGCGTTTGGCTTAAATTGCTTTATCGAAATATCCGCGAAAGAACGCTGGGTTCATAAGTATCTGGCAAAGGCGAGGTTACAATACATGCATCTGAAGAGAAGTGCGCATCCATCATATGCTTTATCATACCAGAGTCAGCAATGATGCGTCAAAAGTCTTACGAAGTTGGATCGATCAAAATCATCGTTGTGTTGAGCGCAGTGCTCGAAACTTGCATTGCAGTAATGCTTAAGTGTATCTAAGAAGTGAATCATAAAAAGGTCGTCGCAGCATCATCCTAACCGAAAGACCCAGTCCAACCGAAAGTGATGCTCAAGAAGAAGAAGAATCCCAGTCCCAGTCCGTGAAAGCCTAACCCCAACCCATGCCCGTATGCACCATTTTGTAATCCGCGCAGCTAACCCGTATAGCATGCGACCAGCCATCCCTAATCAGACGGAGAAAGAAGAGAAGATGAAAGTGTAAAAACGGTTGCCTAAGCAGAGAAGTCACGAGCGTGAGCACGCTTCTGAACGGAAGCAACAGCAGCGAGCTTGGGACCAGGCGCATCCTCGATGGTCTCGCCGGCCTGGTGCCAGTAGAGGTCCCACTGGAGGAGCTCATCGGTCGCCTTGTACAGCTCGGTACCCTTCTTTCCAGCAGGAACCTGCTTGCTGTCGTCACCGCCAGTGACCTTGATGTTGAAAGCCTGAGGCCAGAACTGGCGCTGGCTAACATCGCCGTTGTTGTGGATAGACACAACCTCAGTCCTGAGGACATAGTTGCCGCTGGGGATCTCAGAAGGGATAGTAACCTTCTGGGTGTTTCCGTTGTCGTAGAAGATGGCGTCGGTGCCCCAGTAGCCGGTCTGGCCTTGGGCTTGGCCGGAGGAGTAGCGGCCCTTGCGGTAGTCGAGGAGGGCGCTTTGGTGGATCTTGAAGAACTCGAGCTTGGTCTTGTCGACGTTCTTGCAGTCGCCGTTGCAGGATGCCATGTAGGTGGCTGTCCAGCCGTGGTGAGAGCAGTCCCAGCCCTCCTCTCCGGAGCCGCAGCTGCCCTCGTGGTGCCAGTGGAAGGTTACGTCTTGGCCGGCGGGGGCTTCGACGGTGTATGGGGAGGGGGAGGCATCCTTGTGGGCAATGATGTCGGGGCTGAATCTTGGTTAGCACATGCACGAAAGGGTAGAACTAGGGTTGGTATGAACATACTGGCTCAGCTTGTCGCCGTAGATGGGCTGGTATCCCCAGCCCTGGTTGGTCCACCAAGCAGGCGACTTGTTACCAGGATCCTGCTTGGAAGCCTGACGGAAACCGGGGTAGGTCTTGCCTCCAGCCTCGAACTGCTCGACAGAGGTGTGGCCGGCCACGGTAGCGATGAGGGCAGCTACAAGAGCGCCAGTCTGGAAGATCTTGGACATAGACATGGTTGAGTTGATGTTGGTCGTAGAGATAACGGTTCGTTGGGTATATTTGTTGGTGGGTATACCTTGTAAAGAATATGATAAAGAATGTGATAAAGAATGAGTGTTTTGTTGATAGCACCGGGCTATAGAATGAATGACTGGTCAATGAATGACTGAAGAGAGAGTGACTTGCTTGCTGTGAGCGTGAAGGATATCCCTCTGCAAGGGCGAGCAGCAGCCCTTAAGAATGCTCACCACCCAGCATTCCAGAAGCAGCCAAGGTGGCCCGGAATGTCCAGGCCATCATTTCGGAGGCGCTTACTTTTCGCCCCGCATTTCCCGACGCCCGTGAGGGGTTTGCACGGTGGCTTCTGCTGTCTCTGACAGGCGACCTGCTGACCAAAGAGCTGCGCCGGCGCTCAGCTGGTGGAGTGTGTGCCTGACGCTAATGTAGGTACGAAAGAACTAGTTTCTTAGTCACGAACTGGGTTCGCCCGGCGTGTAGAGGAACACACCCACTATCATTGGTAGTCATCTGCGCGCCTACGTACGGCGTAGAGATGACGAACTGTGCCCCTTCTTATTGCATAGTACTAATTCTGTCACGCAGCTGTCGGTGTCTCAGCCTGCTGTGCCATTCTCAACCTCATGTGGAGTTTGCATACGTACATTTCGTATTCTCGAAGCCCAGACATCAAAGTCTCAAGATTTTGGGTGGATCTCGGAAAACACCGAGATCAACCTCATCACGCAAAAGAACGAATCAAGAGGCGTGATGTCATGTTGATTTTCGTTTGTAATGACTTGGGGCTGTTTTTCTCGTGGTCGGATCGCCCCTCGGCTGCGTGTCGTGGCAGCAGGGGTGAATACGGGGCTTCCGCTGCCGCACGACGCCGCTGTTTCAGCCGCCAGAGGGCTATCGATAAACAGCCTATCGACAAGACCCATCGCTTCCCAACACATCACCGGCGCATGCAGCAATTTTGGTTCACTCCTGCGACGAAAACGTCTGGTTGTTTGAGACAATGCCGTGCTATGTTTCAAACAACGCAGGTTGGCGAACTCTTACCGAACGGGCATTTGAAATCGTAGCAACTGATCGCTTTCCGGCCTCCCTGGTAATACGAGCGACACGCGTGAGCACTGCCGAAAGCCTTGGTACTTTTCCTCCACTCTGGTCCAGATGCTGGCTCTCCGCTCAACGATCGACATGTCGCCACGAGGAAGGCCTGACCTTCCTCGTTGAGTTATGCGCCCGTCTGATCCGGAGGATTCGGATGCATGCGAGCGCATCTTGGAAGTTTACCGGCCGTGACGACTATCGGTAGGGAGTGTGCGGCGTCGACATTAGCTTACTGACGTATGGAGATTACCAAACAAGGTAGTCAAATATGGTAGTCGCACGATTAGTAACATCGCAGACGCCCATCAAGCGCCCCGCTTTGTCTACCCTTCTCCGAACACCGCAGTTGGACGAGAACGACCTCTTGAGGTCATCTTCCATTCTTTTCGACAGGTTGAACAAGCGAACGCATGGCATGCCAGCAAAGACATAAACTCTGTGTTCACGCCTGGAATCCTGGATTGTTGTTCCAGCCGTTCCAGCGTCATCTCGTGGCGCAGTCCACATGCAATTTCCTGTGTTGCTGTTGGCCAATCGTCCAAGTATGGTACAATAGTCCATCAAAAGCAACGCATTGATGTGTTCCTGGTGATCTTGAGAAGCTGCGCCGCGTGCAACCTGCGTTGAAATTGCTTTTCGGAAACAATCCCATGGGTATTAGCAGCGGCAACCTACTTGATCGTCCGCCGGCATGTCTCTGTTAGCGAAAACACGCACCCGGGTATTGGTTTTGTGCGAGAACTTCATTTCCAGCGTCTATCGTGCAACCGCATTGGCTTTGATCTGCACCTTGCTGCAGAATTCCAAGGTGAATGTTCTAGCATGCGCTGAGGTCGTGCTCGTGGTTGTTTACCGTGAGCCTTTGTGGGTGCAAGGAAAGCCGAAGGTTGGAGCTCCAGCACGGTGCGATGCATTTCCAGCAAGCACCTGGCAGTACGTGGTACGTTCGCAATGTCGTCACTGTCGTTGCTGTAACAGCCTGTTTCGAAGAACGTTGTTTGTATCATGGAGCGAACGCTAGCAGGAAACCTAAGTGCGGAGAACATCGTGGTCGACTACATACATTGACTAGCTATGCTACCTCCGCGGTCCCATGCCACGAGCTCCGAGTCTGCTTTCCTTCTTTCCAACTTTACGAACCTCGAATTTTGCGTCGTGTCACCTTGATAGCGTCTCCAAGATCACGATCCGGCACGTCGATCCCTTCGAATAGCGCTCCCATACATTGGTGCTCCACTTTCGCTGCCTTGGTGTTCATTGTCGTTATCGGCCTTACACTCACTCCGTACCGACTGAGACCGCAAGCACACAGATCAGGGGCATCTTCCGTCGTAGCTATCGCACGAACACCACGAACACGCTTCGACTTCCGTGGGGGTAGCATTTGTACTCGAGAAGACCGGCTTGGGGGTCCGCCGGGCAATACGAAGTCCCCATTGGGTGCCGTACGTAGCTGACCCATCTGCGCGCGACTAATGGCTACCGGCGCTTTCATTTTGTTGCCCATGAAGATGATGTTGTTGCCGCCGTTCTTGTACTGGCTAGCGAGCGCATTGAGGTCCAAAGAGAATTCCTGAATACTGATGCCACTACCAGCGTCCGAAGCTGCTTCGTCGATTTCGGCCGTCTCATCGTCTTGGCTGCCTGAGTGCTCGCTGGGTTCGTACTCATCCGCGGGTGTGTCGTTCACTGGCTCTTTGTCGGCTGGTTCCTCGTCGACAGGCTCCTCGGCGGCTGATATCTCGCTGACTGACTCTTCACCATCTGTCTCTTCTTTCACGCTCTCTCTGGTGTTCTTCTCATTCCCGGTCCTACCACCAAATGCCTGCATTGCATACCAAACTGCTCTGCCCACACGAGAGTCTCTCTTGTCTTCATCACTCCAGTTTGCATAGAGATTCATGAAGCTGACAGGCCCTGGGTTCATCAACGTCATCGCAGGGTTGCAAACGTCTACAAGCTTGGCCAAATGTAGATCGCCCTTCCATGTTTTGCTGCCGCTTTCCTTTGATACTGGGATCTGGATGAACTGCTTTAAGGTTTCCCAAACTGCCTCAAAGATTGGCATAGGCGTACCCATGTCTTGCGCGATAGATTCTGTCTTGAGTACAGTGATTACAGTATTAACGTTCCAGTTGTAGATGTTAGGGTCGTCTTTGAACACGGGATTCTTGCGAAATGCCGGCATGATTGTCTTCCAGATGTCTGTACAGGTAGACAACATACCGAACCAGTCGAAGTGCAGGTCGTTTTCATCCGCTAGGAGCCACTGGCGAATCTCTCCGAGCAAGGCTAAGGGCTTGCGTTGCAATTCCACGGACTTCAAGAACTCCGATGTTTCGTAAGTACCTTGGGGTAAGTTTTCTTGTCGGTCCAATATCTTCTGCGACTCTGGCTTGCACACCAGGCTGACTAACTTCATCACCCATTCGTGGGCTTCTGCTGTTGATTTGGGTTCCGCACCCATCCGCTTCAAAAACAGTTCTCCGATCACAGTTGGGTCATCGAGTCGGCGCAGTTGCTTGTTGTCCCAGGTGTCCTTCTTTGAACGCCGATTGCTCGCCTTGTTGGCAATGGAGTAGCCGCGTCCGAGATCAATCTTCTTACCCACTTCGTCGAGAGTCTTTGGCCATTCGCCGAAGAACAGCTTGTCTTGTCGACCGTTGAGTAGATATTCCATGTCAGGCCATCGGGGCATTTCCGGGTGCAGTATCCGGCTTACCGCAACATATAGCCAGGCCATGTAAAGGATGTCGCCCGCCATATGCTCGATTTTGTAAGCTCTGTGATTAAGCTGTAGCTGTAGTTCGTACTTCAGAAGCCCGCAGCGGATCGGATGCCTTTTCAAGACTGTCGCAAGTTAGTTTTATCCCTCTTGTAACACCAGTATGATCCAAACGTACCGTAATCCGGCTCGTCTACAGTTTTACTCAGTGGCTCATGCTTGTCCTCCTTGTTCTTCCGGATGAATCTTCCCCAGCGATCACGAATCGCGTAGTCTTGATGGTCGCTCAAGATGTTACGCATGTTCTGATAGAGCGAGGCTATCTTTTTGTCGGAATCCGCAGATCCCTTGAATGGCCGCTCGATAGGATCAATTTTGGAGATAGGATCAATTTTAGAGAAATCCTGCGCGGCTTTACGAACAGTCTCTTTGTACTCGCGAAAAGGCGCAGCAAGCGTGCCCTCCTCTTGAAACACCGACTCAACGTCAAAGAACATCTGTACCGCTACAGTGAGCCATATAGGAATCTCTTTGAAAGTTATCATGTGTTTGATACCCCGAGCAGTCTCGTCGACAGCGAAATGAGACAGATGGGGATGACTTGCGACGTCGAAGAACTGAGCCCATTCCAGGGTCTCAAAGACCTCCAGGGCTATTTTGTCTGCGTTACTACCGAATGACTCTCGCGTTATGTGAGATTGTCGAGTGTGAAGTGGGCCCGTCTATGATAACAAATATACCTTTAGGCCGCTATAGACGTGCCACATGCAATATGTTTCCTGCTCGCACAAATGATCGTTTGTCTGGATTCTCATAGACGGCTTGACCAGTTTATCGACATTGTCTTTGACATCGCCGTAGTAAAAGAAATCGTGCATGCGAGCGCAAAGCAGTGCCGGAAGAGTCCAAACAGGGTAATCTCTGGCGGGGTATCCAATCATCTCCGTCAGCTTGTGTATACGGGCACTACAATGACTTAGCCTTACTTCTTGGGACGAACGAGCATCTGATCGAATTGATTCTCAGCAGATCGCACCAGATCGACGGCCGTATTGGAAAGCACTGCCGCGCGTGTGAGACCTTCACCTGTCTGCCGATATTCATCCCACTCTCGCACAATCCATGCTCGCACGTCGTAGATCTCCTCAAGAAATGTCGCGATAGCGAAGAAGAAGTCGTGCTCGAGACTCTCCTCGTCTTGCTCAATCGGGATAGGGTCGACTTTGGGCAATTGCTTCTCCTTAACTTCGGTGATGAGTTCGTCCAGTGGGTCCGTCTCTTCGACCGTAAGCCCGGCGAACCTGTTTTGTAGCTTGATGTTCTCAGAAACTACTGGCGTCTCTGGTATCAGAGGCTTCAGCAGTTTTGCCGCCTTTTCCAGAACGGTGATAAAGTAGGAGTGCCTGTGGTTGTTGACGTAATCGGTCGAGTGCCCTCTCTCGAACCAACTAGCCACTTTGCTCCGAGCTAAGATCACTCGGTCAAAAACTTTTTGTAGCGCAGCTGGGACTTCGATCTTGGGATCAAATGAAGCAATGTGTTCAGCCATCTCTACAAACTCGGAGACGCGTATGGGATATTGAGCTGGGGTCACAGGATCCGGCGTCTTCTTGGCTGGCTTACGAGCTTTGCCTGCCTTTCCCCTCTTCCGCGGCGCTTTCTGCTGAGGCTCAGGCTCGGTGATAGCTCTGATGTATCCGCATTTTTCCGATGTCTATGCGAGCCAACCAGCGATGTACTCCGTGTCGTTTTTGTAATTTCGGTACGTTAGAATTAACGATCTTCGGTTTAGTACATCACTTTCGAGTGATGGGTCCATGGCGATTGAAGAGAGTAATGTTGTTCGAGAAGCACTTCCAAGTATTCACAAAGATCACAGACAATGCGGTTGGGTCTGCGTTGATGCAGAGTACTTGGAGAACAAACGGTGAGATGAGACGGGAAGCGGAAGGCGGCACGGATCAGGGGCGGTGGGGTAAGGTCGTCGGACTAATCCTGAAAGGGCCCTGGCGCCCCCTTCCAATGGAATCATGACGAAGGTTCCAAGACCCTGAAACTCTCCATCTTCTCCTCTGTTCTCTTCAAGCAGCATGAAATGCGCGGCACATAGTTTCGAAATGCTGTCGTCGGCCTGCCACTGCGCAGACTGGTCATGAGAAAATTCAGCTTGCGTGAAAGTTAGCGGACGCTTGGCCGGGCCTAGGTTGGAACGCGAGACGTCGGGTAGTCGAAGAGCTGCGGTGACCGACCTGCATCAACAAGACCTTATCATCATTCCATGGACGTGCAAGCCTTCGTTACACCCTTGCCGACGGGAGGCTGGGGGCAAGAATGATGCTCCAGGCCTGATCACCTAGGTAGCTTCGCAAAAGAAGCTTGAATGCGGGAGTTAAGATTGGTCGCTGGTGTATCTTCCAGTTACTATATTCTTATACGTCCCGGACCCGATACTCTTGGCCCTCGTCCCTTCAGCAGGTGTTCGTCCAAGGTTCTCCTCGATTGTGAGCGTGCCCAGGTGTCGTTGCTCTTCCGACGTGGATGATCTGTGCACGCACGCACACCTGGGAAGCGGCTCAGACGCGTTTGGAGCAGAGAACGCGACATCCATCAATCAGATGGGTAAACCCATGCACACCTGGTGTGCTCGTTATCGCAGTTCTATGCACCGGTTAATGAACAATTTCAAAAGCCTCAGTCCAGACTCAGCGTCGTGACGTGGTGTTGAATTCCAACGATGACGCTCGATGACGATCGCATCAAATCCCAACCCCACCAAAACTGGCCCCTACAATTACTACCCCCCGATCGACAGAGATGTTCAAAACAACCATCATCAGATCTTCGAACTTTGTTTTCCGGAAGCCAATCACCTCTTCTATCCTATTCAGGCCAATTACACGTACCTTTAGTCACACTACCTTCAAGATGAGCGACAACAAGGGCCCAGTTACCGCATACCCTGCCACAGAGATCACACCTCAAAACCAAGAAGGCGGCCCTGGTCTAGACGCAAAGACCGATCAAAAAGCAGAATGGTCGCGTCTCGAGTTCTGGGACGAAAACCAGAAACCCTACCTCAAGGAGTATGAAGGTCGTGGTTTGATGCAAGGCAAGGCCGCGTTGATCACAGGTGGAGACTCTGGTATCGGACGCGCTGTAGCGATTCTATTCGCAAGAGAAGGCGCAGATGTAAGCATCGTGTACCTGCCCGAAGAGGAGGAGGATGCGCAATACGTCAAGAAGAAGATCGAAGAAGCCGGCCGCAAAGCAAACCTCTTGCAACTCAACCTGCGGGAGAGGAAGAACTGCGAGCAAGCCGTTGAGCAACACATGAAGGTCTTCGGCAAGCTGAACGTACTTGTCAACAACGGTAAGATCACGTTACTTCATTCACATCACCAATCCAAACTAATGATATAACAGCCGCCATGCAAGAAGCCTGCACAGACATAACCGAAATCGACCTCGACGTAACCGAGAAGACCTTCCACACCAACGTCATCTCCATGTTCGCCATGTCCAAATACGCGCTCAAACACATGAAGCGCGGCGACTGCATCGTAAACAGCGCTTCAGTCGCATCCTACATGTCCAACCCCATGCTCCTCGACTACGCCTCCACGAAGGGCGCCATCGTAACTTTCACCCGTGGTCTTGCGCAGCAGCAAGCGCCGAATGGTATTCGCGTTAACGCTGTTGCGCCGGGCATCATTTGGACGCCGCTGCAGCCGGCGACGAAGAACAACCCGGCGGATGCGATGGACAGCTTGGGTGTAGGTGCTTGCCCGCTGAATCGCCCGGGTATGCCGGTGGAGATGGCGACGTGTTATGTGCATCTTGCTAGCCCGTTGGGAAGCTATTGTACGGGTGAGGTAATCCATGGGAGTGGAGGAATCGAGATGCAGGGTTAAGAGATGCGAGGATATCGTAGTAATGACGATGGACTCAGCCGGACGAGACGACGAGAACGTTCTCACGATGATAGTATGGAAGTAATGGCAGCCTACGGTCGAGTTCGAGGAACATACGACTGTTTTGGTTTTGGTTTTGAAGTCTTCTCGCTAGCCTCTACACAGCAAGGCAACGCCATTATGATGTGGCTCCAGACTTTTGATGACAGAGATAGCTCGGCAGATGTCGCACCACCTCATGAGCCATTAATTGACGGCTTTTGAACACATGCCTTCGGTGCGATCTATTTTTTAGAGGACCAGCCGCAAAGAACATACGGCATGTTGGTTGATCATTTTGGTATAACAAGAACGCTGTAGGTAATTAAAGAAGGAGAGAACGACTTGTGAGCGAGGCTTTATACACCCGCAGCAAACGAATCCCAGAACGAGGCAAGCATCAAGACATTGGTGTAGTCTTTCAACACTCCCAACGCACTCATGTGTCGCGAAGGAAGTCGTATTTTGAGTCCCCGGGACAGGAGTTCTGGCCATGAGTTCATCGCATAGCATTTTTGGACAGCTTCGTCGCTTTCATCACGATCTTGAACGCCCGTTTTAATCCCAGCAAAGCCCGCAAGCTCGCCATCGTTGAGGTTGTTTGTATTTTTGGAAGAAGGAAGAGACAGCTGTCATGTATTCATACTCGAGAGCTTTTTGGACATGCGAAATTGGCAATGTGTAGATAAGAAAGAAGGAGGCAGCGCAAAGGGGAGAATTATATACACCTCTCCCAATGGACCGTGATAAGGATGCCATGTACATATTTTGGAGATCTCCAACAGCGCACCATAGTGTTGTCATTGGTTTCTTTTAGAAAACAGGAAAGACGATCGTCATCATCTGATACTCTGAAGTTTTTTGGATATTCGCATGACCAATGTGTAGATAAAGAGCAAAGAGGCAGCGAAGAGGACATTTATATGTTCACTCCTCCCGATGGCCGCTCATCAACTTGAACGTAAACGCTTTTGGCGATTTCGAATAGCACACCATACTCTGGTTTCATTTGTGTTTCGGAGACGGGAGAGACGGTGCTCATGCGTCCTAGCACAGTCTTTTTGGATATGCGGAATACGAATGAATGGATAGGGAAGAAGCAAGCAGCAAAGACAGGAAGTTTATATATACATTCCTCCCGCTGCGCGCTCATGTATGGAAGATGTAAGAATTTGACGACTTCGACCGCACATGAGATGTATTGGGAACCTTTTCTGGCACGTCTCGCCGCATATGGTCTTGGTTTTGTTGCTCGCTTTTCACCGCCGATCGACATGTAGTTGAGGACTACGTTTATAGAATCTGGTATAAAGGTTTCACCGATTTTGACGATGTCGAAGTTTTTCGCCGACCGCAAAGTCATCACAGTATCAGACTTGAATTTTAGGAAGAAGACCACGGACACATGGGATGCTTTGTCGTGAATTTAGTAGTTAAGAAGGACGGAAGTGTGATATGAAGTGAGGGAAGAGCAAGGAAGAAGGCGGTCTTTTATGCTGGATCCGAGGGGAAGATGCGGTAGGTACGCATTCTAAAATAAGGATGTATCATATTAGACTTAAGCCTGTGTTTTTGGGAGTCGACACACCAGGACATGACGAAGTAATCGATGTATTTGCGGTTGCAGGGCGAGTTTCCTAGGATCGCTGTACGCTGGGCTTCATGGCGGCCATCTGTAGTTCTTTTGACGATACAATAAACTTTGAGGGAAGAAGTCCGGAAGCCATTTCTCGCTGCTATCTCTTATTTGGTGTACAGAAAGCACAAGTGCGGAGTGCAGTCAAGGGAGGGAGCGAGAAGACGGCGGGCTTTATGTTTGAGGCCGAAGTGGAGCCTCATCATCGATACGGTTCTCGAGGCTTTCTGGTCGGACAGTCATAGCTCGCCATATCACTGGTTTTTGGAAGAAGTCCGCAAAGCCATCATAGAGAACCAACAAATTTTTGGTTTACGGACAGTAGAGATGTGTAGTCATAGTGAACAAAGAAGGCAACAAGAAAGGTGGCTTTATATTTGACGGTGAGGTCGGGCTCTGCCATCGTTCGTGTTGCGCATTGTTTCGGTCCGAGACGCCATCTTGCGTTGAAACAAGACCTTTGAGAAGAGCAGGAGGTCATGAGGTGTGTGCATTCGGCTTTTGTTAAGAGGAAAGATCACATAGGATTATAGCCACGTAATAAGATGATGATGTTTTTTGATATGAGTTGAATTCGAACTATGTCATCTATCGAATATGCCAATGCCCCAGGCCGAGGAGCCATCAGCATCGACTGTATTGTTTGAATAGAAGAACAGAACTTCATAAGGTTTTGTTCCACGGTTTTTGGTGTACGTTAATAGCAGGTAAAGTATATTGATATTACAAAGTGAACACAGCGACCCTCTTATAGTCGTCGAAGCAGAACCCCAGCATCCGCTCACACCCTCGTTCATCCAGACCACAGAGTCATGCCCAACCATCCTAATATTTTGAGTAGCGCAGGAAGCCATCGAACTGAGGCGGGTTACAGTTGAAGACTTGGCCAATAGCGCGGGTGAGCTCTTGAGCACGCCAGAAGGTGCCGTTGGCGACCCGTCCCACCAAAAGCAGAACACCATAGCATTGATATCCAAATCTTTTGATATAAAGAAAACGGCTTTACGGTTTCCTCCATAGCAAGTAAAATCCGTGATCTTTGTGTTTTTGTATGCCGGAGTCGGAGCGCACACATAAATAAATCGGGTCGCGTTTTGAATCGGAAGCTCATGTCAGATTGAATCTCTTGCGTTCAGAAGAGCCAGACCCCATGGCGTATGGCACTCATGATTTTCGTGAAACGTCGGTGAAGTTCTGTATTGTCGATAGAAACAGACACTCTTGAAGGCCTAA